CTGTGGAGAGGTTGGGGCATTGATCCTGCAATGCTCAGCCCTTGGCCCATCCTGGTTATGGAGGCCACAGTGCCCATAGCTGGTATTGGTGCCATTCCCACGGGCACAGGGGCCATGGAAGACAGAGGTATTGGCTCCATGCTCATCGCTGGCACAGCACTGAAGGAAGGGCTGGTTCCCATCACGGGACTCGCTCTCATCTGGTTTAGGGTGAGTGGCTGAGGCTGATTCACTTGGAAGGGGTTGATTGGAGTCGGTGCTGTAGCGGCGCCTGGGTTGGATAGAAAGAGATCACACTGCCATCAGGTTTTGGAAATCATCTTTCCTGGCACCCTCTGTACATCTCCACACTCTCCCAACCCCCAAATACCCTGTGAAGAACCTGCATTGATGCCACTCAGCAAATTCACTGGTGTACCAGGTTCTCTTGAGTCTGTCAGTGCCACAAAACACCTCTGACCAACAGTTTCCACCTCTGGTAGGACTGACTGGAGAGAGGCTCCAAATTCAGCTACCTGAACACACCTGACCACAGCACACAGATCACTCAGTTTATTTTTAAATGCTACCTAAAGTCTACATTGGGGAAGAGACCTGCAAGCTCTCTGTGCTCACTTACTGCACATTCACACTGGGGCAGGGTCACTGCCAGAGGGCAGGGTCAGATGGGATAAAGGGAAGAAATTCTTCCCTGTGAGGGTGCTGAGGCACTGCCATGGGTTGCCTGGAGAAGCTGTGGCTGCTCCATCCCTGAAAGTATTCAAGGCCAGCTTGGATGAGACTTGGAGCAACCTGAACTAGTAGGAGGTATCCTTGCCCATAGCAGGAGTTTGGAATGAGATTAGCTTTAAGGTCCCTTGCAACTCAAACCATTCTGTGATTTGCACATTTGCTTCAAGATCTCACCAGCCACCTCCATTTTCCTGTTTCTGGCACTGAGTTTGGACAAGAATTCACAAAGTAAACAACTTGTTTCCGAATTACAGCAGCACTAGAAAAAGCAGAGACTAACTTTCCCAGCGTTTGAGGTTCCCTGGACTGCTGCCATCCCTGCGAATTCCTTTCACCATACATGCACAGAGTTATTTGGATGGCCCAGTGACCCCTCACAAACGTTTTGTAGTAATTGGTAAGGGCAGATACACAGACTTCCTCCTGCTGCACTCTGCCAAGGCTGTCAGAATTCCTGGCTTTTTCCTATTCAAGGAGTTTAATAAATTAGCAATTTTTTCTACATTGGAAGAGTGAAGCAAATAAAAACTGAAAGAGCATTTCAAGGTGTTTTTGAGATGAAAATATCAGTGCATATTTCAGCTTTTAACAAATACATCTTCCATGGGTGTAGCGTCACCATTTCCATGTGCTTGGGGCTCAGCTTACAGGAGAGCTCCAACAGCCCATTTTTTATCAACATACAATGAGAATGTGAGTTTTTCAGATCAAAACTGTTTTCTTGTGCCAGCCTGAAGACAGCCCAACCTGCAACCCACCCAGTCATACTGCAGTCTGCTCTCTGGAACCTCTGTGCCTGCTGCAGCACAAGCCAAAGGGCAATTCCTACCTGCTTTAACAAGAACCTACTACCTGTCACCTTCCCAAGGGATTCTCTGGTGGCACATGTTCACACTTTTCCTGTTTTGACAATAATTAACTTTCACAGAATCACAGAGTATTTGGAGTTGGAAGGAACCCACAAGGATCATCAAGTCCCACTCCTGGCCCTGCATAGGATATCCCAAACAATCCCACCATGAGAGCATTGTCCAAACACTCCTTGAGCTCTGGCAGGCTTGGGGCTGTGACCACTGCCCTGGGAAGTCTTTAGCTCAGCCATTTTTAATAACCCCAAACCTAACACAGATCATTTTGAGAGACAAAGGGCAAAAGGGGAAGGAAAACTGCTGCAGCCAAACTCAGCTGCAGACCAAGAGCAGAAACTCTGTGCTTTGAGGGTCACCATGTTAGGTGACACCACAACGCCTCACTCTCCTGCTCTCACTCATGATCTGCTGGCTGAACTAACCACAAAAACCAAGCCCAAACCAGTTTACTTTAAATCCAACAGGACTGTGTTATGCCGAGTTTCCTACAGGATGGGAAAGCTAAAATATAAATGTGAAGGGTCATGCAGAAACAGACCTGGTGCCAAGAATGGATTCAGTGAAGTAACAGGTTGTGGTGGCTTAGACACCAGAGAATCCAAGTTCACCAGAGCAGCATTGGGGCCCAAGAAGGACTCTGGGGTTTTCCGAGCTGCACTTTGTTTGCCTGATGACATATTTGAGTGCTGAGAATCAAAGAGATCAGGACTTGTGGTCCCGCTATGCTGCGATGGCACAGTGGAACCTGAGTCAGCTGAAACAACACAAAGAGAAAAACAAAACTTCTCATTAATCCACACAGTCGAGCGATGAAAACCCTCAAGTGTCTGACAGACAGCAAAAATGTTTTCATTCTCACATTTGTATTAGTCAGGTTTTAGGACATACATGTCACACCCTTACAGCATGCAAGCAGACAAATGTTCTTTAGGAGAGCATGAAGAAGCTACAGAATTGCAGTGTTCTACTGAAGGCATTCCCTGCTTTGCCCTGATGAACATTCCCACAGCTATGCTGCTCCAGGTGGGACTCAGAGGCTCCAAGATACTCAAAGCTTTGGCTTCTGCCCTCACCCTACACCACTGCTGTGCCCTTCCTAGCTGGATTCTCCCAGGTTTTGTCTGGGTCCTTTCAGGCAGAACCATCCTGAGAGCACACAGTGTCACAGCACTGGCAGGTGAGGTCTGGCAGTTTTGATTTTGTAACTAATGACCAAATTAGAAAATTCACAGAAGTCTATTTTCTCATCTTCCTAATGGAATTTACGCTTTTGAGAGATTCAGTCAGCATGGTTCTGTTTGGCTCCCTGAGCACAAGTCCTACAAGTTGGATACTGGACATTTAAACTTCAAATTTCTGGGACAATGCAGCAAAAGGTAACAGCGCAATCCCAGGGCTTACAGTGCAAAAGGCCCGTTCCCCGCAAGTTCATGCACAGGCCAAACTGTGAACAACAAGCTGCATTATCACCAGCTTTAATCCTTCCTTTTGTGAAAGCTGGTTTCTTTTTTTCAATAAAACTGAAGACTAGAGACATTTGCTGATGTGACTATCACCCAAGTTGGCCACATGCTGAGAGTTGGTTCCTACCTGGCTTTTTGGAAGTTCGAAGTGTGTCAAATTCAGAAAAATCATCTTTAACTGTACCATTCAAATTACTGAAGAGGTCAAAAGATGTACTTCCTGTTCAAAACAACAAGACAGCCCTGTCATTAACACATCTTGGGTTGAATCACACACCTGATCCTCCTGAAAGCAATTCCTAACCCACTGGTGTTAGCCAGAAGCCACTGTCGGGTTCAGGGCAGCAGCTGGAGTGCTCCTACTCTCACCCAGGAGCTGGAGAAGGAAAATGGCAGAGAACTGTCCTTTCTCACACAATTAATACCTAATTCAGAGCAGTTTGCTTTTGAATCAGTGTAGGGCACACCTGAGCATGCTGGGGTTGGGTTGATTGAGTGTGTGCACTAGAGACAAGGATATATTGCTGCGGAAGAAGAGAACAGCACCAGATTTACAGCCTAAATTATGGGTGTTAATCAGCCCTCAGGTAAAACATTCTGAACACAGTCCCAAAGAGAAAAGTAGCACTGCTACAACTTGAGTGGTGATTTGAGTTCTACTTCCAAAGTGAAAAGGAAGAGGAATGCAATAGCAAAGGTTGTGGAGATGGCAAAGCTCTGTTAGCTGAAGCACCAGCACTTGCCCAGAGTTTACAATCAATAAAACATCACCATTTCAACATGTGGACACACTCTTACCTCAAAAGGGAGGCAGAAACCCCACACCCAAATGACCAGCAATCACACTCCTGAAAAGCTTTAAAGTTTGTTGGTTTGGGATTTTTTTTTAATTAGTTGAAAAGTTTTTCTAATTTAGTTTCAACCTTCAACACATTTTGAGCAAAAATAGGTCCAAAAAGAGCACAAAAAGACAAAAACCCAAGAGAATGAGTGAAGACTGCATACACCACCAATACTTATCATGAACAAAGAGCCACCATAGTTAAAGATTCATTCTCACAATGAGTCAGTTATTGCCTTTTGCCTAGTGAAAAGCTGATTAGACAACTTTCTGCAGTCCTCAGATCCCTTTGTTTGTCATGTACAGAGAGGAACGACTAGCAGAAAATGCATTTAGGCTGCATTTAGCCACAGTGCCAATATGAAAATACCAGGTATTAAGACTCATCAAGGCTGCATTAGTTACAGAGCATGAACAGACAATTACATCAGCACCTCCTGTACCCTGTAAGCAAGGCTCGATGACTTTCACACCCTCAGTCTCAAGGAACAAACCTTCATTTGCACCTCTAAAAGTCTCCTCAGAGTGTGGAGCTGCTCAACCTGTCAATCTGCATCTGCAGAGACATCCATCTGCAGAGCTATTTATCATGATGAAAGGTTAAATTATAGTATCATTCATTGCCAGAAATTAAGTCCTTGTCTAATTAAAGATAAAACCCAAGAGCAGCAGCAGCCCCAAGTGCTCAGCATGCAGCCACACATACCAAGAGGAGAAGAAGGTAGACGGGACAGAGCATGAAGCAGCACCACAAATCCAGAGCTCTAAGTCACGATAATTACTTCAGAAGTATTTTTTCCTGCTAGCTATTACAACTCCCTTCAATTTTACAGACAAGTTCTGCGAACTGTTCAGCACTTAGCTTCTTTTAACCACACAACGTAAGAAAACCATTAGGCTTTATCCTCCTTATTCCAACCACATGGCTATGGGATGAGATTGAGTCTCACCAGAAGTAGAAAGAGGTTTGTTTGCAGGTGCTGGTCCCCAAGGATCCACAGAAGATTTTGCTGCAGTAGAAGATGGCTGAGCAGGAGCCCAAGGGTCAACATTTTTGGACAGAGGCTGAGCTGTGGATCCTGCTGGTGCTGCCCAAGGGTCAACAGAAGCAGCTGGTTTGGCACCTGCAAAAAGAGTCACAGCAGGAACACCAGTCAGTCCAGTTCCCCTTTGGAAAGGTCTTCTTGGAGATTAACCTCTCTTATGAGCCATTCCAGGACACAAATAGGTGAAGCAGTTCCACACCAGGAACACTGATAACCCTCAGCATCCATGTCACATGTACTGAATCACAAACACCAGGAAGTTCTGCGCAAAGCAGAGGAATAAACAAATTCCCTGTTTGAAACTGAAGGAAAATCTGCAGTTCCAGCAAGACAATAAACTTGCTTTTGTTACAGACACTGCCACCAAAAGAGACAGTATCTGCCTGGAGGTGACCTAAATCCCAGGGTCTACTTAGGAGCTCATGGGAAAGTAAGTTTATAAAAAGCTCAGAGGTAAAAGGTATGAGATACACAACATTAACATTCGGACAAAGACTCAAAGGGAATTTTTCCAACTCTTTTAATCACACTTATTTTATAAGAACATAATCAGCTTCCCTGAGCCAGCTGTGCTTCTTTATTCCCATTTGTTAAGCACTCCTGACACACATCTAAGCTGCCACTGATAGCCCTTCCTGGGTTTCTTTAAACCTCTCTGTTCAGGATTCTCATTTTTACTGGAAGATGCTGACAACTCTTCATCCCTACAAATTCAATTACCAAACTGATTCAGGCTGTGCACAAGGTTTGGGCTTCCTACTGTAAAGGGGCAAATTAAGGCCATAAAGGGAGAAAGAAAGAGAAGGAAATTTGCCTCACTATATACAATTCCCTGCCAGGTTTTTCTTCTTCCTCTCCAACTCCTAATTTATTCCTTTTCACCTGTTCTTCTTTCTCCCGATATTTTAGGTTATCAAACCCCATAACCACTGAAGCAAATCCCATTTCAGACTTGCAGTGGGCTGGCTCCATGCTGAAAGGTATCACTCCTGCGTTGCTCCCATCATCCACCCCCACTGCCCCTCCTGGCCCATCAGGAATGGGAACTCAGTGCATGACATGCACATCCTGTACAACTCTACAGAGATCAATTACCTTCAAATCAGACAGTACACGCAAACATTTCCTCTTCCTAATGTACCTTCTCACCAGGAATGGTGATAACTCGAGGCCAGGACAGAATCACCCATATGCACATAACTACTGTCCTTCACCACCACGTGGGTTTCAAGCTACCACTGAGAATTGGTTGAGTTTTTAAAACTACAAAACAAACCTCCTAAGCATCACAATATTCTTGCAAACTAATTCAATGCTGCACACAGGGACACAAATTCGTTTGCAGTTGAGTTTTGTTTCATCAACAGGCACATGATCTGCTACAGCTTCAGCTCAGGAAATGCCAAAACTCTCCAAGGAAGCCCAACTATTCCCAGACCAGTACTTACACTTCCTTTATCAGCCCTCAGTGCTGAGTTACAAGCAGTGCCACACCAGAAATGCTAATGACAGCATTTCTCAGCAACAGAAGCTTCCCAAAATGTCTGTTCTTTCATAAAAAGAGCACGAAATTAGAGCATTTGGGAAGATCCTTTCCCGGAGCTTCCATTAGCTCCACCGAAACATCACAGCAGGACTGGAGAAACACAGTTTAATGAGTCACTCTTTTATCAGCAAATTCATAAATCTTACATCTTCAAGACTTTCCTTAGGAGCCAAGAAATGAGCAAGCAGCACCCAGGGGTTGTGCTGTGTGTTGGACTGGAGGCACTGAGAAGGAATGCTACAGCTGCAACTGATACAAGGGAAATCCTGTCAGAGGACCACAGATCAAGCAGAAGAATTGAAGAAGGTGAGTTTTGTTTAGTTTTAACCATGGAAAAAATACACTGAGCAGGCTTAGGGCCCAAAACCTGGACTTTTTCCGAGTTCCTATCACCAAAAAGAAGAAACAGGTGACACAGAACAATGACCTGCAGCTGGCCCAGCAGCGTTGTAGAAGCCTTCAATGCCACAATGAGGAGGGAAAAAATCCCCAAACAAGCCATTTTATTATTAAACTTCAAAACTCTCCTTAGGAATCTGCATGGTGAAGTGCTGAATGCTAAGAAATTATTTTGAAGCACTTTAGAGCAGAGGTTGTAGAAGCACCTGCCTAAGGCAGAACTGACAGAAGAAGCTGTCAGTCTTCATGGAAAAGGTGCTGTTTGCACAGAACATCCTTCCCCTTAACCAGGGGCCAAAATTCAACAAGATATAGATCCAGATCCAATTCCAAGTGTAACTTACTGTGAGGACCCATCCACTTTCTTATCAAAGGAGTAACTCCTTGGACAGGCTTTTGGCTGTCCCAGAAACCAGCACACTGCACAGGCAGCAACACAAACACACACACACACAGAGTGGACATAGCTGCTCTTTAAGATGTAAATCACTGAATCTTCTAACTCAGAAACATTCCATGAATTTACTATCAAAAGCCTAAGAAACACAGTGAATATTTAAAATGGCAACCTTGATAGTTTTTTGCTTAGTATAAAAATTCCCATTGAAACAATTTAATCCACTTGGTTCTGACCATACACAGATCACATTTCACTAGGAGCAACTAAAGACATGGAAATTCAGATTTATGGCCTTCCTAAGCACAGCATCCTGCCTAAGTATTACATTAAATGTTGGCAGAATTCTAAATCCATGGCACTGGACACAACCAGGAGTGAAGCATGAGCATCCCCCCAGCGTGATATAAGTTGGTTTTGCTGTACAGAGACAACAGACACGTCACTCTTCTCTTTCTTAGGATTCAAAATGCACACACACCACCACAACTGCTTAAAAAGAGTGCAGAAACCATTTGTTTCTGTTTGGAAATGAGTCTGGGAATCTTAGTTCTAGAGTATGGGAATCACTCAAAATGGACTAACACACAAGCAGGACATTGTACACTGAAGAACCCTGATAAATTCAACATCACAAAGCAAAACCTTTTCAGTACCATTCCTCCTCTCAGATTTCTCCTTACCAAATGATTGCCACGGGTCAGAGGCAGGAGCTGCAACTGTGGATCCTCCCCAGGGATCAGTTTGGTTTGCAACAGCAGGAGGTCCCCAAGGCTCTGTTTTCGGTGGGGCTGGAGCCGACGAGGGCAGGGCATCCATTAGATCCAACAAAGTGGTATGCTGAGGGCAGGAATAATCTGAGCTTTAATCAAGAGCATCACCAGTTTGAAGTACAAACCCATGAGAGTGAAGAAGCAATTATTATTCTTATTTTTCCTTTTACACACCTGCATTGACTAGTTTGAAATTTAACCCACATGGAAGAAGCTTTAAGCTAGACAACAAAGCAATCCCAAAAGCATTAAAGAGCTCAGTATTAAGCTATTTTGTGTTACTGTATTTCAGCTTTTGGCAGCATAACCAGGAATTTCTTAGGCGAAGGCACTACCTCCTTCTTTTTGGGAATTTTAATTGTGTCTCTGCGACTCTCCTCCAGAGCCATCTGTAATCTCAGATCATCTCCACGTCTGAGGCGTTCCTCCTGCAAAGGAAATCAACACTGGTGATATAGACCATTAGCCTAGACTGTGCTGCTTGCTCCCTCCTGGTCTCCAGCCCCCTGGGCAGGGCACTGCCAGAGAAGGCCTGGGCAGCCCTCCCTGCCACCCTGGCACTGATGTGCACCTCAAGCACACATAGTGGGATTATTTGCTGGGATTTGTACATAACAGAAGCAGGGAAAAGGAATTTTCTGGGGATTCCTGCCTCAGGCAGAGGTCAGGAACACCCTGACCCTCTAACATAGGCCTAACAGTGGGATCAGATCCAGTTTGCTGTTTGAAATTTACCCTCATGTTTTATATAGTTATAACTGAAACATTCTTTCCAAAACTCTGTCCCAAGGCTAGAAACACCACAGAACTTAAACACCCCATCTTTAAAACTATCCTAATGATTTTGAGCATTCAAATCACCACTGAAGGATGGAAGGAACTAAACTTTAATTTCCCTGGATTTTGTCAGCTTCCCTTCACACTGATGCAAGTGTTGTAAGGAATACCAAGGGAATCAGTCCAGCCAACTCCATGTGTAATTTGAAGGTTTTAAACATCTGTAAACTACAATGTTTGTGGCACATTCGACTACTTCAAATATTTTGCTTGCATCATGTCTTTCAGAAGTTGACTAATCCCCCAGCTGCTGTTTTCCTTGTCATTTTTAAAGCTACTTCAACAGATTAGATTCTGATTTATATTTTCTTTCACTTAATTGCTCAATAATGATGAAGTTTACTGGGTGACAGTTGCCCTTTCCAAGCACAGAGATACTAATGCTTAACATACAGCTGTAAACTGAATTGTCACAGGAATCCTCTAAAGTGTTACAGCATGGCTGAATTTTGACTCATAGCTGAGATTCAACAACTTCATTATATATTAACATACAGAAAATTTGTAGCATCTGCTACAAATTCAGAACAAACCTCCTAAGAATTGGCACAGTCACATAACCCAGGTGACAGATTAGGAGCCAAGTTTCTTTAAACCAGATTCTTTGTACACTCTGGTACTTTGTGTCAGATCACCCTCCTGTTTCAGACACTCTTACCCAACAGACCGTTCAAAATTTCCCTGGAATCAGAATTCACTGACATTAATGAAGGCTTTCAGGACCAGTCACAGTTTCAGCTCTTCCTAACAGAAAACATCTTCAGTAATATGATGATTAACATCCTCCCACACAAAGTCTTCTTGCAAAGTGACTGTCATCTTCCACTAGTCTCAACAGCTCAGTGGCTGAAGTTACTTTAAAAAGAGATGCAAAAAGTAAAAAAAATACAAAAATACCACAAGAGCAACATCTTCCACAATGGCCTTTCTCACTCCCCCTAGTCCACCTGGAGCAAAGCCAAGCTGCCATTGGAAAAGAAAAAAAACAAACAGGATTGGAGACTCAACTATCAAAGCATGGACACTGTGGAAAACCTACACGGGCACCGACCTGCTCCGCCACCTCCCGACTCATGGCCAGCGCCAGCTGCAGTTGGAGCTCCTCCTCCCCACTCGTCTGCGGCCGTGCCTGCTCGAGCTCCGAGGAAACCCGAGGGGATGTAGCTGTGGGAGACAAAACCCAGCAAATGAACACATCAAACAACAAAAAGATGGGACAGGTTTGGTTCTTGCTCTGATCACACCACACCACTTCCCCACACAGCCCCTGGGACCACCGACTGGAGACTTCTGTCGGTTCCCTCAGTGTCAAAGAGGGCTCACACCAAGGCTGAGGGTAACAGCCAGAAGGATTTAGCAGGGAGAACTTTGCAAGGCAGTTCAATTGTTTTAAAGAAAAAACGTTCCTGGAAAACAAAGGCTTTGTGTTCGTGAGGTTGTAGTATCAAGAAGTAACCCCAGTGTGTACTGGATCCACTGTCACGGCCTATCAGAGATTCTGGGGCAGGACAGTGACTTAAAGAACTATAGAATTAATCACTCAAGAAAACATTTGTTGATATTTCTTCCATTTTCACTCAGGATTTGCTGGGAGTTAGCCAGTATCAGGGTAAAATTGGATACCACCCACTTTTCTGTAAAATAATACAGTCTTAATGGGAAGATAAAGAACTATTCTTAACTGCTGAGCAGGCTCAGGGACAAACAAACCAGCTATTCATACCCCAAACTTACACAAATACTGTATCATTCTCTGCTTTAAAAAAAAAAGAGTTTGGTATAAGGGTTGGGGGCGTTATTTGGGTTTTGGATGAAGATTTCTATTAGCTGAGCATTAGCTGTAATCTCCCTCACTCCTCCTCAAAGAACAGTCAAGCTTGACAGCTAAAATATGCAATTTCTCAATACACAAATCTTCTTCTACTGATGTTTTCACTACAGAAATTCCCACCCCAATGCCACAACACTAGTAGGTTTAGCGCTACCCATTAATTAAACAATTCTTCTGCTCACTCTCTCTCAGATCATTCTCTAGAATCCAAACCATTTTATCTTAACATTGCAAGGAAGTTTGTATTAACAGTCACCAGACAAGCTCTTTACTTCACATCAAGATGTTACTCCTACCTCAATTCCATTACTTTTGCAAACTTTCTCCTATAAAGTAACTAAATTTAGCCTGTTTGACAAGTCCTCTCTGCTACAACAGCCACATCCAGGCCCTCCAACATATTATATGGACTACTAGAAACACCTGATAACTACAGCACTTGGTAATTCTCAGCCACCCACCTAACACAGGGAATACATTGGCACTAACTCTAGTAATTCAAATCCAAGACAGAGGATTTCAAACCAGAATGGATATGGAAACACTTCCCTTCGGAGCATAGAGGATATTTTGAGTGCTTATCTTTGCAAAAAGAAGATCGAGCAGTTTGTGGTTGTTAAATACATCAGGTTTACAAATGCTACAAAGTAAGAAAAGTAATTTAAGATAAAGGGGCTAGAACTAACGGTATAAATTGACCATGAATAGACTGGAGATA